GGGCTAGTACTGTAATGTTAATCCAAAACCTAAAGTTGACCTTTAGGAAGAAAGCTTAGTCCAACATGATTACAAACAGTGATCATGGACTAGTTGGGCTTCGTTTCAGAATGGTCCATGATCGTCCATTTTATGGATCTCAAAGGTGGGGACAAGTCTAGATTATCACTTAAGTAACTTCAGGGATTATGGGCTAAGCTCATGCTCTTTACCTCAAGCCCAAATGTCTCCTAATGTGAAATGTACTAGGTAATTCCGCCCAAGTACATAAGTGAAAACAAAAGTATCTAAGCAACTCCAATGGATTATAGGTTTTTTTTTAGTACAACGAAGTATTTGTACACTAAGAGGAGAGAAGAGTTCGGTTAAACCACACATTAAACAATCTAATCTGACATCTAATTCGTCATTTACGAGATTCGAACATAAAACGTCTCATTTACAAATAAAGAGGAATACCACCAAATCGTAGTAATTAATTATATCAACATTTGTAGGTTAAACTCGAGCGCCAACATGTGGTCCTTAAGGCTGAAATGTGTTGGGCACATATATTCTCTTACTGCAACAATTGAGAAACTTTTCAATGTTCCTAGAACACAAGACAAAACAACGACACTTGAAAAAATGTACAGCCGTGTACACACACGAAAAATCTCTCCTCAGTCGCTGCTTGCGTAATTGACTGTCTTCTATGGATTTTATAACTAACAATGTATAGCCATCTGTTTCTACTTATTTACTCCCTTGACATTCTTTGAACCCCCCAACTCCCCAAACCCCCCCTCCCCCCCCACCCCTTTTTTCTTTTTTGAAAACGGGCACTCACCCCTTTCGTATCCTCTATTTCCCTTCTTTTCCTTTTACTTAACCCAGAAGGAAAAAGCATTTCTGCAATTCAAACAAACAAAACATTCACAGCTTGAAATCAACTTGTGTGTCCTTATTTTAATGAGAACTAATAAATTCGTTCAAAAATCTGCACAGCCACGTTTTGGACCTAAATCAGCTCCATAACTGGCCCAAAATAGCTGTAATTAAAGTTTGGACTATTCTGAAAACTTCTCCATAAGGCCACGAACCCATCTGAGGTCATATCGGCTTCAAAAACGCAATTTAAGCCCAGAAATGTTACTTTCCAACAAAGCACACTGCTCCTTCATTTAATCACCAGAAAATAATTGCTTGGTAAAAAAATCCCAAGTTTTGACACGAACAAGCTAAGGAACACACGAACATCCTCCAATTTGAATCACTCCAAAATTCATTCGTTTGAACAAGTTTTGCTCCAGAGAAATCTAATATCCTATATTAAAAATATAAAACAAAGTATCAAAATCCTACCAAAATAACCAATAAATTAATACTAAGAATAAGGTGAAATATATAGTATAATATGAACTTATCAAGAACTTTAATGGAAAACTCTCGGTACTGTTCACTTTAACGAAAGACCACATTTAAATCTTTAAGCAAACCCACTCGGTATAAAATTACTAACTCTACCCTTACGTAAATCCCCAAATAGGGCGACCACAATGAGTAAAGATGAATGATGTTTTCTTCACGTTATTTGTTCTTTTTAATACTTATTTGTTCTCTTTATATTAAAAAAGAAGAAGAAAGAGTTAAGCACCTAAAACTCCCAACCATTAGTGCGTTTTCAAATGAGGTACTTGATCTAGGTCCAAAATTTTGAGTTATGATTGGATTTAGTCCAAAATTTTTACTGTTTAAACCGCATCATTTTAGAGATTTTTTTTTTTATTGAGTACATCGATATTTTTACACTAGTAGAAAAATCAATTTAACTAAATCACATCATTTTAGAGAATTGCCTCTTAAGTTTTGTTTACTTTTTATACGTGGGATAGTGCCATTCCTTTCGGCCAAAAAGAAACCAGGATTATAATATTTCATAGAATCCTGATAATATTTTTTTAATTATAGTTTTTTAATTAAGTACACACTATCATCAAATAATTAAACATACTATCTTTCCTTTTCACATTTCAAGCTTCAACAGATATACAATGTACAAAAAATAAGATATTATAAAAACTTACTAAAATATAAGTGTTGATGTTGGCCAATAAAGAAGCCACGAAAAGCCTAAGAAAATTGAGAATCCTAAGGCCCAAGGGTCTTAGAAGAGGATACCCCGAGCACTATAGCCGACCATCTATGAGCTTAGCATAACCAAGATATGTAAAGAGCTTTCCGACCGCCAAGGGGTAGATGGGGAGATTGACAGCTTTATGGCACAAACTTGAAATCCAACACCAGATTGAAATTCGAGTTATCTGATCGTCCATCGGACAACAAACAAAATTGCACCTTGGGTGCACCATTCATGGGCTCCAAGACTTCTCTGGTGGTTTTCACTGCCTGTCGATCACTTTTTAGAAGTCGGCCTAGCTATAAAAATCTTCCCTTGTCTTGTTCTACGTCTCTGTGGTTTTATGATGTTTGGAGTTTGTCGGAAATTTCAGTTTACGTTAGCCGGAAATCACCACGCATGGCGGCGTGTTAGGTGGCACATGTGAAACTCTAGCTATCTGGATTTTCGACAATGATACTTCCTTGATGTCCAGAGCCTAAATCCAAGGTTCGTTTTTGTTGAAACTTGATACAATGGTTTGGTTATTCGAAATATGGGTATTGACTTTTTATTTTTGTAATTGACGTCAACTTAACCATTGGATCGTCGGTAAGTTTAATGAGCATGCTATTCATCGATTGATGGACCTTGAGAAATTGTGAAACGGAAATTTGACAGTGGGGTCTTCCAGTTGAAGAATCTTGGATTGACATTTGTAGTGGACAAAAATCCGACCATTGGATCATCTCAAAATTATAGTATGTGGTTATGCGTAATATGTAAGGATCTTAGGAATTTGAAAATTTGTTGTGTAAATCTTTTGAATTAGACTACGTTGAGTTATTAACCCTACCGTTAAACATGTTGACCGAGATTTGACTTTTGATCAAACGTCTCGAATCGCCCTTAAATATTGAAATTAATATTGCTAAAGACTAATAAAACCTTAACCGGATTCTCCTACGCAAATAGGTAGGCTAGTGTAACATTGGCTGATTGGAAATTAAAGTGGCGGGGGAGGGATAGTAAGTTATTGATTTTGACTGGGTGCATGATTGATTACATGTCTAATACAAGAAATGAAATTCCTTTTTTATTCTACCAAGAGTGGTACTTAAAGTTTGTGGTAGAATCCGATGTTTATAAATATGTATTGATCCTATCCAGACTTGCAAGTTGCAAACTCTTGCACTAGAGGTTTGATGTGGACGAGGAGCATGATGCACAAGAACTAAACTTCGATGCAGAGATTTCTTAATTAGTCATTTTACCAAATAAAAAGAGTAGGTCACCTGAGCAAAATAAAGACAAAGTCAAGTGTCGCATCACATGATAACTTAACCTAGTTACACAAGAACGAATGAGCTGTACTGAACGCCATTGTCCACATAAAAGAAAAACAAAAACAAAACAAAGCAAAACAAAAGGGATCCTAGCACCAATTGCTTGAAGGGAATATTTTTGCTTCCCAAGTGCGAATCAACTCACTGAATTGTCAAAAATATCTGTTAAGACCTGTTTAATTTAATATTTTTATAATATAAAGAGATGACATTAGTAGTAGTGATGATAATATAATATATTCTCTTTCTACAACAATCGAGAAATTTTTCAACGTTTCTGCATGCAAAATAATGCTTAATCCTTCTACAACCGCCTAGAATTCGTGAAAATTTGACTTTATTCGCTTATCCAGTGTGCGTTCTACTCCAACTTTCCTGGCCAACTACTAAGCTTTTCAGGTTCGCTACTCAAGTTGAACTCGGGTTTTTCAACAAAGTCTTTCTTAATTGAGAAATTTTTCAACGTTTCTAAAACACAGAACATAACAACACATGTTATATATAATAAGATAGACACTGGAAAAAACGTAAATCCGTGTCCACACACCGAAAAATCTGTCCTCAGTCGCTGCTTGCGTAATTGACCGTCTTCTATGGATTTTATAACTAACAAATGTACAGCCATCTGTTTCTACTTATTTACTCCCCTGACATTCTTTGAATTTGCCTCCCCAGGCGCTCACCCCTTTCGTATCCTCTATCGCCCTTCTTTTCCTTTTTCTTAACCCTGAAGGAAAAACCATTTCTGTAATTCAAACAAACAAATCATTCACAGCTTGAAATTGACACGTGTCCTAATTTTAACACTAGTGAGTTAAAATGCATGTGCTGCAGCAGCAGGTGATCCAGAAAGGCCATGGCAAAAGAGTAAATAACATAGAAAACGCATGGCAAAAGGGCAGCTGCGTGTCAACTGCACAACCAGCGGCAGAGGAACAATAGAACCGATAATCTCTTAGATCGGTGATCGGTCCGCATATAAACTAAACGGTGGTGATCGGTCCCCTGCTGATCTGCGTTCCAGGTTTTATTACCTTAATTTCCAAAAAAATATCCACAAAAATAGAAAAAGGCACAATGGGAAATTTCCATAAATGGGAAAGAAATTTCGCTGCCTTTCCTTTCTTGAACAAACCAGCTGCGCCCAACTCTCTCTCTCCTCTCTCTCGCTCCTTCTCTTTCCAAAATTGCTGGCTTTCACTGCTCTGCAAATTTCCTGGTCGGACCAAAACTTCAGACCTGAAACCACCCCAACGAAGGTAAACAAAAAAACAGAGGAAAATCCAGTTATTAATTTCTGTATGGTTTTCCTTTCTTCTTCTTCTTCTATTTATGGTAAATACGAAATATTGGACAGTTGATTGTGGTTGGTGGGTTGATCTGGTTTTGTTTTACTTATTTAGATTTGAAACGCTAGGGTTTGTGGTCAATAATCCTTAAAATTATCAGAAACCCAGAAAATATAAGGTAGTTTTGGAGTTTGTGGACATTTATATATATGTGGAAATTCGAAGTGGTTGGTTTATTTTATTTTACTTGAATTGTTGTTTCTGAAGGGGGTAGGAAGAATTGGAGAAAATGATGAGGGAGAAGATCAAGATCAGGAAGATCGACTGCTTGCCGGCAAGGCAGGTGAACTTCTCAAAGAGGAGAAGAGGGGATTTTGAAGAAAGCTAGAGAGCTGTCGATTCTATGTGAATCTGAAGCTGCTGTTATTATCTTTTCTCAAACTGGCAAGCTCTTTGATTTCTCAAGCTCCAGGTACCAACCCTGTACAACATCCCACCGCCTTATAAATTCTTCGAATTTTCCCAACTTCAACAAATATAATCATGTACATGACTTGATAACTTCTCTCTTTCTGAGAGAGAGAGAGAGAGATTCAGTCATTTGGATCAAAAAGCTATATATTCCCAAATGACCAGAGAGTGCTAAATAGCTAGATAGATAATCTATGCATGTACACAAAGACAGAGAGAGAGAGTGTGAGTTTTAACCAGATAAGGTGCTAAGAATGCTATCTAGAATATCTAGTTCAGGAAAGTGAGGTTTACTTTTGATTGAGACAACTTCTAGCTAGGTGTCCTAGTTTGAGAAATTAACATTTTATTACTTTTACATGCTTTCAATCTGTGAAGTGGTGCCGATTTTTTACGTGATGCTGATCTCTTTGCTTTTCATGCTACATGCAATCGTGTCCGCCATGCAGAAGTCTATATATATAAGAACCACTGGTCTAGTGAATTATGTAATCTTATTACTATTTTACAGTTTCATAGTTTATCTTGCCGCCTTGATCTTAGACCGTCATTCTCACTGGAATTCAGATAATCATCAATTCGAAATAAATAATCTAACAACATAAAATCAAAATGATAGATAAAATACTCTGGCTAGTAAAAGAGTGACTTACTCTCTACGTACCATATATATACACGCATGACAACTTCAACACACGATGTTAGGCTATGTTCCAAAAGTTGTCCTTCATTCTCCCCACCTAAACTAAAATACCTGTAAATGAATACGGTGAACTTGCTAAAGACTGAAAATATGAACATTCAATTATATATGCTTCGGATTTTTCTTACTAGGAAGAAAGTGATGTGATGAAAACTTGGGAATTCATCATAGAAGCTTTGAAGATCCTTTGAGAAGGAATATGTATGCCTGCGTCAAGTAGGGCAATCAGTGGTGCAGTCATGGCCATATATAACCTGTTTTTCCACAATCATGCATGAAATAATGAACTAACTTGAGTAGTTGCAAAGATTAAAACCTTCTTCCATAAATATTGTGCATGAGGAAGGGTGAGATTAATATCTTGACATGTAATTGTGGAATAAGAATTAAGATAAAGTTGTGCTTTTGTTTTAGTAAAGAAAAAAAAAAGACACTCCCCATAGTAAGTGATGATGTCATTTTTATTAATAAAATGGGAAATATCACTTTTAAAGTGGTTCCTTTAACCTGAAATGTGTTATATAGGATTACTTTATCAATTTGACATCCAAAATCAGCACTCATGGAAGGATGCCCTTATTGTAGGATGGTGTTTTTAACTTGTCTATTGTGTCAGAAAAAATCTTGTTGAGGGGTAGGTTCTAAGAGTTTACTAGATAGTGTATAACCTTTTTGTCATCTAGATATTCCTATTTTTACTATTCGACATTTTTTTTCTATACCATTCCAAACCAAATATATCGATAGGGAATTGTGGCGTGGATTAGGGCTGATATACTCCCACATATAGAGGGGCTTTTTACACCACCAAAGTCTCCACACAGTGGGCAATTCGAGCTGACCTCATTGTCTTGGTTGACTATGATGAACGAGTGGAAGAGGGACATCATCTAGGTCGACTTGACTAAGATGTGGTCATCAGCACTTGATAACCATGGTGAGTTGACCTCATTCCCCTTGTTGATAGCCATAAGATATATAAAGAATTCAATATTTACTGGAAATAAGTACTATTTTACACACCGTCAATGAGAACTTTTCAACCTCCATATATTTGGTGATAGAACGAGAGGAGAGGATTCTAGTGCTGCAAGCATTCTAGCATCAAGCGTTTTCTATCATGTTCCTTCAAGTGGGCATGGAGAAGGACTTCTTCTCCTAGCTGGTAGAATTCCTATATCGGCTATTGCAAGCTTCCCATCAAGCCATATCAATTCCACTCATGAAATTCCATCATTCCTGTCAACTATTAACTACAAAACATTTCGCCATAAGTACAACATAAATTAGTGTCCGAGTATCTAAAAGAAATAATATTAATATGTCCGTTGTGTGTGATGTTTATGCAATTTGTAGATCACTCATAATAAATTCTTCTAGAGGATAAAACTTAGGTTTATTTACAACTACACTCTGGAACTCAATTTTGATCTCACTTTGCCACCTATAACTCAAAATCAACATTTTAATCCATGAAACTCAAAATTCCTTATACTTTGACTTGTGGACTATTTCTTCTCTCTGCAACTTAAAAGTCACCTCCCTGAAACATGTGGGATCCACCACCTAATAAGACTATGCCACACATTCCAATGAATTTGATTATAAATCTTCATATGGTAACATTCAATAATCAAAAATATTAAAATCGTTATAGAGTAAAATGACGAAATTAATAGAAAGTATAATAAATCTTCATTATGCGTCAGCATCCAACATAACAAAATTAACAAAATTAAGGCAATCTGGAGCGAATTTGAGTTTTATAGAGTAAAATGACGACTTTTGAGTTAATGGGCAAAATTGGATCAAAATCGAGTTTAAAGAAATCAAACTTGAACGAATTTTAAGTTCCGAAGAGTAAAGTGGCGACTTTTGAGTTATAAAGGGCAAAAAAGTAAGGACATAAAGCTAAGGTCTGGTGTAATCATATAGTTATGGGGAAAGTTTTCAATTTGTTCTTCATGAGTTCTAGCTACAATCTTTTCTCTTATCATACATATTCTTGATTGCTTCGATATATGCTACTCATATTCCTTTCGTCTCTAGTCTTTCAAACTCTCTTGGTACCCTATCATATGCCTTTTTCACATCTATAAAGACCATGTGCAATTCTCTTACATATCTCTGCATCATTCCATCGATCTCTATAAGAGATAGATTACTTTTGTAGTCGAGCGCTTTAGCATGAACTCAAATTAAATGTGTGACAATCATGTCTCTTCCCTCAATTTATACCTAATTTCTCCCTTCCAAAACTTCATTGTATGACTCGTTAACTTAATATGTTTATAGTTCATACAATTATGTATGTCGTTCTTATTCTTATTTTATTTTGCTAACTATGGTAGCAAAGCATTGACAAATTCAGGATTGGTAATCAAGCCACCCACAAAAAGTGGCCGTAGTGAATATAACAATTAAAGCATATTTGCATTGATGTCTGAGTTGATGTGAGAGGAACTGACTTGGACTTTTTAGGCCCATTTGCTTAGTTAACCTGATAGTCCCAACGTTGGTTTTGCCTTTTTGTTGCGTGTATCCTCAGTTGGTGATCTCATTATCTCATGTATAATATTCCGATTGGACATTTTGATCCGGGTAACCAGACCAAGCAATAAAACCTCCAGAAAGCTTTGCCTTAATGTTCTGGGCCTTTTGGCTGGTTGGTTTGCAACAGAACCAAATATCTCCAAAGTGAGATTGTTGTGGATGGTTAATCTTGATGAATTATCTCCAAATCTGTATTAATTTGTTGTAATTTTGTTTTCTTGTTGGTAAATTAGTTCTGTAGCGTTTAACTGTGCATGTTTTTTTCTTATTGTTTTGGGGTATTTTATTCTAGCAGTTATTCTGTTTGCATGCATGTTCAAAGTGGTTGATTTCAGTCACAGTTTTTATATTATTTTTGTAAAAGAAAAATTAAACCGGAAAATAACATATTAATAACAATCTCATACAAGGTTGCATACAACATGCAAGTACTAACTTATTGGGATTATTGCAAAAGTGTTTGCAAGCACTAACCAATTCTCTGTCTCTTTTTTGTTGTTGTATATTATTATTATAGATGTGTCATAATTTATAAATAATAATGAAACATGCTAATTATATTTTATCCTTTTATGTTGTGAAGTACCAAGGATGTGATTGCAAGGTACAAATCACATACTTCTGGGGAAAAATCAGATCAACCCACGTTTGATCAACTACAGGTAATTCAGTTGAATATTGGTTTTCCTTTTTCCCATCCTAATTGCTCTTTAATTTTCCAATTTTAGTGGTATAACAATTAACTGTGTCATGTGAATGTATCACATTCTGTGATCTATACACTTGGAGCTATGGAATGTAATTTTACAGCATTTTATTTCTTTAACATAAATAAAAAGGTAAATTACATTTTGCATCCTCAGGTTTGGATCTCATAACAAACTCGTAACTCATTTTTGAACATTGTTATTTCATACATCAACTTACTATTTCGTTGAAAAATCATACATCCGTTTGTGGGTCTATTAATTTAATGTTAAATGATGATGTGTCAACTGTGAGTCTCACATTTTTAATAATGTGATGTCAAATTTATGCCATATGGACAAACAACTAATTGAAAATATATAAATTATAAAATTAAATTAAATTTAAAAAATATTTTGAAGAATGAACCCACGGAGCCCAAAATCAGACGACCCTCCGCTCAGCCTAGAATCATAGTTGTATCCAATTTTAATTGTTTGTTTGTCCATGTGGCACAAATTTGAATCAAAATGTGGGGCCCATAGTTGTCACATTATCATGGTTGGCCTCTTGGGCTAAATATGTGCTAGTACCTGGGGTTAAGTAATGACTCCCAAGTCATAGTTTTGACTTCCATTGACGTTCTAAGTTGGTTTTTTTTTTTCTTGGATAAATTCTAACTTGTGTTATTAGTTAGTATTAATTTGAATCATTGAGTTTTGCTCATGGAAAAAAGTTTCATGTTTGGTTTCTTGTTACGTAGGAATCAAATGACCTGGAGATTGCTACAATTGAATATCCATGCTCAAGCATGTTTAAGTAGTCCATCTTTTGCCCCTTTTTTCCCTTCCCTTCACTGAGACATTTGGAATCTATAAACGAAACATCTTTTGCCATAAAAATAGGCGATATCCAATTTTGTGCTATGTGCTGTTCTAAGATTTTCTTCTTTCTTGTTTCTTTTTGGGCTTGATGTTTATAAGCTTTTCATGTGAGTCTGACAGATTAGAGTATCTAAATGATGGTTTGGTATAAATATATTTCCCGTTAAATAGTTGGAGAAAGAAAACAAGATCATGTTGACTAAGGAACTTGAGGATAAGACCCGCAAGCCGAGGTAAATATATTTTATCAGTTTGCTTGTAAGATATATGGTGGTTAATTAAGCTGGGATGATCGTTTGACGAGAGTCAGCTGAAATTGGTTTGGCATGCAAAAGGCAGATGAAAGGTGAGGACCGTCAAGACTTGGGTCTGGATGAACTGCAGAAGTTAGAAAAATAGGTGGAAGCAAGCCTTGGCTGTGTGATTGTAACTAAGGTATGTTCTAGCTAGCTAATTTATACTGTTACAAGTGAATACATCTGATCATGGCTTCTAAAATCTAGGTATCCCTTGGATAGAGGAAAACATTTTTGAGTCGTAGTACGTATTATTGTGCAATGATCCGGATGATCTATTGCTTAATTAGTCTTTGTTCAAATATCATTCTTGCAAAATAAAACAAATGTCTTGATAACGTTCAAATAGAGAATCTGTTATTAGCTCTCCATAAAAGTAATATTGCACTTCTTCCTCTAATTTCATATTTTTCACTATCATGAGTGAACTATGGCTGGGTTTAATCAAATAAATAGATCAACACGTTACACCTTTGGTTAATTTGAATGTAAACTTTTACCTTCTTTTTTTTTGGGGGCGGTTGTAAAGAATGTAAACTTAACCCAAGTATATATACTTTAATTAGGTTATTTTACGAAAGACATAATGCTACTCTTATCACGTTTTCTATACCATATTTGTACCACATCTGAGGCCATTCCTTTGTCAGAAATGTTGTACAAACGTGGTATGAAAAATATGGTAAGAATAACATTTGTTATGGATTATATATCTATACAGCAACATCTAATTTCAAATTTTCCATCTTTTAGGGAAAAAAAAAATTACGAGTGAGAAAAAGGTTTGTAGTTAAATAAATGATTGTTGTCTCTGTGTCTATATATAAAATAGAGTTTCCAGAAAGAAAATAATTATCACTAATGAACTTTTCCTTTGTTGTCCTCTGCATTCACTGATTATACATGCAGGGAGCTGAGCTGCTAGAAGCTAACAAGGGATATTTTGCTGTCCTCGCGGAGCTTTTGCTTACGTATCGTGGGTGGTTCTCTCAAGCTGATTCATTTCAGCATGATCAGGTCGAATTTTACACATTACCAGTTTAAAGCACTTAAATTTTCTTTTCTTTTAAGGGAAAAAAAAAAGGCCATTAGGAAAGGTCTTCATAAAAGCTTGGGTTGAACGTAGTCCATCTCCTTCATGGTGAGCTCGAGCTCGTGTTCAAAGATAAAATTGGGATTGCCACGCCTTCTTTGACGTTGAGTTTTGATATAGGTTTTCCTGTTTTTTATTTTAGCCCGTGATTACTTATAAACAGAGAATTAATATTTGAAGAAACCAACTAGTTTGTACCAAATTAAAGAAAAACCGACTGTTGTGAATTTTTTTTTGGTACGTCCATAGATTAGCTCGAGTGCTCATCTGGGTTTTGTTCTGAATTTTTTCATGTACCTAATGTTTTTTTGGGCCGTTTGGTTTGTTTCCTCACCCAAAAGAAAAATCTGGAGAAAACCAAAGGTAAATAGTGGAGGATAGCTCAGATGTGTTATCCTCTTTTTTTTTTTCTTTACTTTTCTACAAATATTATCTGAATCGTCTAACCTAGCTACTGGATTAGTATCTAACATTGATCATACGATAAATTCTCCATTACTTGCACTACCTATGCATATTTATTTTATTCAATGTGAATCACTTGCATGATTTCATGTTTAAGTTGTCAACTAATAGATTGTTACAGTGACGATCACCGGTTGAATAGGCCGTTATTCAACCGAAATATGGGATTCCACTGTCTCAATACTACAGCAAACGGCATATAAAATCACTTGCATGATTTCGTACGAGATCGCAAATTCATGATGTTGGTATAACTGTACGCCCAGGATGCTACAACATTTTCAGTGAAATTGCTAATTAATTTGTGTTCTCTATTTTCAGGCTTCCTTAGTTTTCCTAGTTAAGAAGTTGACCAAGATGGAGAGCACACTTCCTTAAAATTAGTAAATGAAGTCGAGTTATTGGAAGACATCCGGGGGAGTGCCATTTTGTGTTATATTTGTGTTCCATGCGGCATGGCAATAGATTAATTCTTTAGACCGTATTTGTAAATTTTGTGATGTGTCATTAATAGAAAATAAACATGCTAATCAATAATTAAATAATAATTCAATTATCGACGATAAAATTATATGATTCGGACAAAGTCATATGATTTATAAAATACAATTTGTAAAATATGACTTAAATGGAAGATGCTTCTAAACATTACTATTTCAATAATTCAGATAAAGTTGACATTAAATTCAAAGATTGGAATTGACACGTGTCCGTTATAAGTTATAATTGTACATTCGCTCGGTTTTCCAATTAGATATCCCTGCTTTTCCTATTCATACACTTACTGCCATGCATTCTCTCTTACCATATTTCATTTCGCATTTTCTGTCCTTTATGTCGGCGATGCGCCCTTCTCCTGCCGCCGTCTGTCTGACAAACCCTAAATCAAATCTGTTGGGTACAGGAGAAGGAGCCTTCCGGGAGTTAGGCGGGACCTATACTGGTGGATTGGCAACAGGTATTCTTTGATCTGTTAGCGGTGCCGCGGCTCAGCGAACTTACATATTCTGCAGATACATGAAAATAATTTTGGTTTTTTTACAGATCTCAACAAACCACCGCCTCAGAAGAAAATGAAGATTCAGTCGCATGACGAGATTGCAGAGAAGAGGAGAGGGAGATACAGAACCACCGACCATAATTTATTTAAATTAGTAAAATCATATGACGATATTGCTCTGCAGAGAAAACGAGAGGGCCGGGATGGCCATGATGGAAGAGGGTTTGGAGAATGCGGCTACTGAAAACTCGGGGGGTGGGATTTGGGGAGTTTTGTTTCACAAGTGGGAATGAGTATTGTCAGCAAGTGTCGCAGTGATCGCTGCTAGCAGCTACCGCTGCTCTTTGGGATAAAGAAGTGAGAGAGACGAAGTGGGCGAGGAAAATCAAACGGTGTGGTACGTAAAAAGAATTAAACTGAGAATCCCCAGCCGTACTGTCGTTCAGTCCACATATTATAGACGGTCGTGATCGCATTCATCACTCATCACACCAACTGATTAGCGTTCCACGTTTCTAACCTTGTTTTCCCAAAAAATATCTAAAAAAAGAAAAAGGCACAAACAGTGGATACCAAAGTAAGATATTTCCTATTTTTCCATAAATAGGAAAATTAATTTAGCAACCTTTCCTTTCTTGAACTGCCGGCGGCACCCCAACTCTCTCTCTTCTCTATCTTCTTCTCTTTCCAGAATTGCTGGCTTTTCTTTCACTGTTCTGCAAATTTCCCAAAACTTCAGACCTGAACCCCCCAACGAAGGTAAACAAATAATAACGGAAAACCCAGGGTAATTAATTTATGTATGGTCTTCTTCTTTTTCTTCTTCTTCTTCTTCTTCTTCTTCTTCTTCTTCTTCTTATGGTAAATACTGTAGGCTTGTTGGACAGTTGATTGTGGTCAGTTTTTTCTGTGTTTTGTTTTTCTTATATAGATCTGAGATGCTAGGGTTTGAGGTCAATAATATCTTATTAGATCTGAGATGCTAGGGTTTGAGGTCAATAATCTTTAAAATTATGAAGAAAAAAAACGCAGAAAATATATGCTAGTTTTTTAGTTTGTCAACGATTATATATATGTGAAAAGTGGTTGGTTTATTTTATTTATTTGATTTAGTTGTTTTGCAGGGGTAGGAAGAAATGGTGAAAAGGATGAATGAGAAGATTAAGATCAGGAGGATCGACTACTTGCCGGCAAGGCAGGTGACCTTCTCAAAGAGGAGAAGAGGGATTTTCAAGAAAGCTGAAGAGCTGTCGATTCTGTGTGAATCTGAAGTTGCTGTTATCATCTTTTCTCAAACTGGCAAGCTCTTTGATTACTCAAGCACCAGGTACCAATACTGTACAACATCCCACCGCCTTCTAATTTCTTTCGAATTTTCCTTACCTGAACAAATTAATATAACCAAGTACATGACCTGACTTCTCTTTCAGAGAGAGAGAGAGAGAGAGATTCAGCATTAGAATAAAAAAAAATTATATGTATATATAAGGAGGAAAGTGCTAACTAGCTAGATAGATCATCCACGCATGTACACAAGCACACATAATTTATGGTGTCAGCTAGATAAGGCACAGAAGAAAGGCTAGAGAATCTAAAAACTTTCACCCAGAGAGAGAGAGAGTTAACCAGCTAGTACGAGGATAACTATATAATTTCCAGTTCAGGTGTACTTTTGATTGAGACAACTTCTAGCTAGGTGTCCAAGTTTGAGAACATTTTTCGTAGTTTTACGTGCTTTCAATGTGTGGAATTGTGGTGATTCTTTTTAAGTTACTTGCTGATCTCTTTGCTGTTCATGCTAAATGCAATCGTGTCCGCCATGCAGAAATCTATATATATATAAGCCACTTGTCTAGTAATATGTAATCTTATTACTATTTGACAGTTTCATAGTTTATCTTGCCGCTTTAATCTGATTTCCCCTACCTATCACAAATCGGTTGTAGATAATAATATATAAAATATTAGTTGGGGCTTATGAAATGAAGAGTATATGTGTATCCTTTTAAATGGGGTACACCGTGTCCCTTTCTAGATACACGATATATTATTTCTTAGACCATCATTCTTACTAGAATTCAAATAATCAGTTATAAATAAATAATTTGACAACATAAAATAATTAAAAAATACTCTAGCTAGTAAAAGAGTGTAGCACTATCTACTTACAATATATATATACATACCAATATGTATATGTATATCCATGTCAACTTCAACACATGATGTTGGGTTATGTTCCAAAAGTTGTCCTTCATCCTCCCCACCTAAACTACAATGACGGTTAATTTCTAAGGACTTAAAATACGAACATTCAATTATATATATATATATATATATATATGCTTTGGATTTTTCTTACTAGGAATAAAGTGATATGATGAAAACTTGGGGATTCTTCATAGAAGCCTTGAAGACGACCCTTGAGAAGGAAATATGTATGCATGCGTCAAGTAGGGCAATGAGCGGTGCAGCTATTGGCCGTATATAACCTGTTTTTTCATATGCATGCATGAAACAATAAACGAACTTGAGTAGTTGCAAAGATTAAGACCTAGCTACTTCCATAAATAATGTGCATGAGGGGAAGGGTGAGATTAATATGTAGAAATGTAATTGTGGAATAAGAATTTAGATAAAGTTGTGCTTATGTTTTAGTTAAAAAAATATTATCTCCACATAGTAAGTGATGACAATATTAATAAAACTGAAATACCATTTCTAAAGTGGTTTATTTAACCTAGAATGTATACTATAGGATTTAGTATATCAATCTGTCATTCCAAATCAGCGTGCATAGAAAAGATGCCTTTATTGTATGGTGGTGTCTTTTACATCGTTTATTTTGTTAATGAAAATCTAAAACTAGTTTATAAGATGTTAAACACATCTATTTGGTAGAGAGTGAATGAGCTTTTTGTTATCTAGATCTTCCCATTTTACTATTAGACTCTTTATCTATTCCTTATCCAAATCGGATGCACCAATAAGGAATCGTCGCGTGAATTTAGAGTTTAGGGACATCATCCATGTCAACTTGACTAAGCTGTTGTCATCACCACCTGATAACCAAGGAAAGCTGACCTCATTCCTTTTGTTGATAGCCAGGCCATATACCTGAGCCGAGTTGCTCTTGTTTAATTGTTGATTAGTACCATGTTGGCTTGGGCATTATATGTAGGGCACGTGTCGACCATAAAGCCCTTTCACCCCATCCCATTCTGAGATGCCAGATGTCGATCAGATATAATTAGATATTGGTGCCTCGAGGCTGGAAAGGCTATTTTTGACCAGTTGTGTTTTTATATACTCTCCATCACCTGGATTGAGCCACATGTCAACCAGCTGTGGGGTCTCTCATGGATATATAAAGCAGCCACCTCCAAGCAAAAGATTAGGCTTACTTCCTCTGGAATCACTCTCGATTTCTCCCACCTCTCCCATTCTTCTTGTGAAAGTCTCCTAAATCTTAAAAGATTTCCAAGTGATGCACATGTTAAATAATTATTAAATACAACACGAAGTGGATGCAGCCCATCTAAGCCGAACCACTCAAATCTCATTGCCTTGTGCATGATCTGTTATTACCGTGCTAGAGCTCACCTCACCTCGGTCTAATACCATTATTCCTTTGATTTTGATCCAAAAATATGTGTTTACTTCCCAATAATACACCTCTATAAACATTATCTAAAGCAACAAAGGAACAAATTGAAAATGCTTTTGTAAATTAAGAAAGAACAAAAAGCTACTTTTGGAGCATGGAAGTCCAATCCATTACTTATAGCTTCCCTTTGATGGGTAAGAGAAAGAGATACTTTATTTTGTTTTTTTAAATAATTTATGACTTTCATTCATAAGATATAAGAAAATTCCGATACTCACTAAAAAATTTATAGCTTTCCCTTGATCGGTAAGAGAAAGAGATATCTTCTAGTGTTTTTTTAAAATAATTTATATCTTTCATACATAAGATATAAGAAGATTCTGATACCCACTGAAAACAAGTAGTTTCCAATGCCTCTTCTTACTCACTATAAAGAAATAATTTTTCAACCTCTATATATTTGTTTTTTTTTTTTTTTTTTTTTTTGGCCAACATCTTGGATTTTGCATTGGCATGTAATCTCTTTTTAGCCAATACTTTCTTTAAAAGGATAGAAGAGCATGTGATCTAGCTTTCCCTTGATGGGTAAGAGGAAGAGATATATTCTAGTGTCCTTTTAAATAATTTATATCTTTCATTCGTAAGATATAAGAAGATTTTGATCCCAACGCCTCTTCTTACTCGCTGTAAAGAAGATAATTTTTGAACCTATATATACTGGCCAACATCTTAGATTTTGCATTGGCATGTGATCTCTTTTTAGTCGATACTTTCTTTAAAAAGATAGAAGAGCATGTGGTCACCAACAAGAGCAGGTCATCAAAAACACAATAGTTGACCTCATTTAGTGGATAAGACTTTATTGTTGTTATTGTTCTAGTGCCTCCTTTTGCTCACTAGAAATAAGACAGTGGTTCAACCTCTATATATTGGGCGTATATTAAGAAAACAAGAGGAGAGGATATTGGTACTGCAAGCATTCTAGCATAAAGCATTTTCTATTACTTCCATCAACTGTTGGTATGGAGGACTTCCTTCTCCTAGCTGCAAGAAATCTGTCTTGGCTGCTGCAAGCTTCCCAATAAGCCATCCACAAGTATGACTACAATTTTTTCTTCCATAACCTCAAGTACAATTTTTTCTTCCATAACCTCAAGTTTTTAAGCTCTTTTTACTCTCTTACTTTTGAAACCCAAGCTCCATGGACAAAATTCGTCGACCACCGTAAACACTTTAGCCTTGATGCTAAATCCAAGTTTAGCCAACACCAACCACCAACTTATTTACTAAACTTGGGGCTTTGGGGATCCTACATCTCAAGCTATCATGGAAAGTTTAGAATATTTTTTTCATAGTTAAAAATCTTTCTCAAAGCCATCGGATACACTTCACCAGCACCGAAAGCATTTTAACCTAACATTTTTTTTTTTGGGTCCAAAATTTTAACATAACATCAAACCAAGCATTTTTTAGTTGCTATAAGAATATCAAAGCATTCTTTATAGCTAGCTTCTCGTTCAAGATGCTTTGGACATTGTTCTCACAAACTCAAAATTGGGGGACACAAATTAGGTTTCATTCACCTCTTTACAAGCCCAACTTCTCTCCAAATATATCAAACAAATAATATACAATGCATGTGTGTGTGATATGTTTATGCAATTTATAGACTACTCATAATAACGTCGTCTAAAGCTGGATAAAACATACTATTAAAGTTCCTCACCTATCTAAATATAAAATATTAAAAAATTTATCATACTAAAATTTTCAACATGTTACTTGCCTGCATCCCCTTGAGCGGATGTGAAAAGAGGATTTCTCATTTGAGAATCTCATGCAGCAACAGTTGAACACGACACATCAATGAAGTATATACAAGGTTAGGTGCCTCCATTTTTGCGGTAAACATGAGAATGGATTGCCAATATTGCCCTAAATTATGGTCAAGTAAGTGCATGTTAAGTTTTGTATAGCTTATGGATAGTCCTTTAGTACTAGTTTTGAGTGATTGATGAAATGTTGTCTTAACAAATGTAGGGTTATGGAATTTAAGGATATTTGTCCAAGATCAAGTGGCTTCATGTAATAGAGTTGGCCCGCCTTCTAACATCTTGTATTCGATTGATTACGAAGCTAAAGTCCTTACGTACTATAGTACAGAATATATAAGCACCCCCACCCACCAACACCCACTTTCGGAGGAGGCTTCCAGTGTTCCGGAGAGTGGTCTTCTTAAGGGAACTATCATAGGAACCAAATGTGAAAGAGGGTTGACTTGGAAGGTGTACCTCAACATTCTTGCATCAGCAGATAGTGAAGACTTGACAATTGTGGAATCAGTGCTACAATAATAAGCCTCCTAATTAAGTCCTAAGATACATAAGACCAATAAAAGAGTACTATGTGCTTAGATTTTTTTTTTTTTTTTTTCGAATACTATGTGCTTAGATTAATCTTCCAATTAATAAGGAAACACAATTCATTTACTTATAATATTAAGGTCGTATAAATGAGTCTTAATAGTCCAGGAAACAACTCATAGGATCATTCACCTTTTGAAAATATACAAGGAAAACAATTATTATATTAACTCTCGTTTCCCCAAGATATCCCTCCAAATTAAGTGCATTATGTTTAGGTCTTTTCCAATAAAGTTGGATGGCTCTAACTAGATGGACTTAGTAAATTATCAAATCAGTCATTACTTGTAAGTAGAGTTATTAAGTTGGTTAGATGTATGTGATTCTCTCTTTTTATCCCTTTTTTTTTTGTTGTGCGGCAGTGGACGAGATTAAAAGCACAAGGTAGAAACTGGAAAACTTTGCCAAGGAAAAAAAATGGTCAAAAGTTAGCAAGAATTGCTTGTTTTTATTTCTATTTGTTTTATTGTATCAAAAACCTTTTGAAAATATTGTTGATCATTGACAAATTCAGGATCAAAGAGACCAATCAAGCCAACAAAAAAATGATCATACTTAGGCATGTCATCATATACTCACCTTTTAATTTGATTCAATCAAAAGATATTACATGTTTCTTGTTTTTAAAACTCAAGAAAAATTAAACATGTCTATTAATTTTTTTTAAATAATATAACATGTACAATATTATTGGGTCAAAATCAAAAGTGAGTACATTTGCAAGAATAATACTTAAGTGCTTACTATCAATCAAAAAATGCCAAGTGTTCTTTGTTTTATTGAAGCCATGCCTATTATTGTTTAAAATATTAAATAATGTGTTAAAATATCATTAGATTAAAATAAAAAAGTATGTATGTAGACTACTCATTAGTGGGAGTAGGATTCTCTCCCTCCTCTATTCTCATCATTTTCCCTCTCCTCCTTTCACACATCGTCTTTTGTCTTATTGCCTCTATAAAAAAAATTATATAAGATGTTAATGTGGCTTAACCGTGATCGTTCAAATAAGAGGAGAATGAAAGGAAGAGAGATTAAGAGGAGAGAGAATCCCCCTCCTTATAAGTGAGTGCCTAAGCATTATCCTATTTGCAATGGTGCTCGAGTGAGAGGAGCTGACTTAGACTTGTAGTCCCACTTTTAGTTACCTGATAGCAATGGTGCTCGAGTGAGAGGAGCTGACTTAGACTTGTAGTCCCACTTTTAGTTACCTGATAGTCCCAACGTAGGTTTTGCCTTTTTGTTGTTCTGTATCCTTAGTAGCTGATCTCATTATCTCATATATAATATTCCGACTTGACCTTTTGATATGGCTAACCAGACCAAGCAATAAGGCCTCCAAAAAGCTTTGCCCTAATGTTTTGGGCCTTTTGGCTGGTTGGATTGCAACAGGTTAGAACCAAATATCTCCAAAGAGATGGTTGTTGACATGTTGTGGCTGGTTAATCTTGATGAATTATCTCCAAATCGTATTGATTTGTCCTAATTTTGTTTTCTTCTTGGTAAATTAGACCTCCTGCATGTCATGTGCATGTTTTTGGGGTATTTTATTCTAGCAGTTTTTTTGTTTGCATGCATGTTCAAAGTTGGTTGATTTCAGTCTCGGTTTTTAAATTATTTTTGTAAAAAAAAATTAAACCAGAAAAGAGCACAAAGCCGCATACAACATGCAAGTACTAATTTATTGGGATTATTGCAAAAGTGTTTGCAAGTGCAACATGCAAGCTGGTTTTATGTTGGATATAATTTTATTTTTATGTGAATAATTTATAAGTAATAATGAAACATACTAATTATAGTTTATCCCTTTATGATGTCAAGTACCAAGGATGTGATTGCAAGGTACAAATCACATACTGGTGGGGAAAAATCGGATCAAATCACGCTTCACCAACTGCAGGTTATTCAGTTCAATATTAGTTTTTTTTTTTCATCTTTGCTCTAGAATTTACATTTTTAATGGTACAACAATTAATTGTGCCAAGTGAGTGTAATATTTTCTTTGATCTGCACTTGGAGCATCGGAATATATTTTTACAGCATTACAAGTTAGACTTCTATATATGCATGCAGCAGGGTTGGCCTGTTAGACTAAATATGTGCAAGTACTTGGGGTTGAGTAATGCCTCCCAAGTTATAGTTTTAACTTCCATTGAACATTCTAAGTTTTCATGTGACAGATTACATTTTTTTTCTTTCTTGTTTCTTTTTGAGCCTGATGTTTATAAGTTTTTCACGTGACAGAGTAGATTATCTAAATGATGATATAAATATCTTTCCCATTTAATTAGTCGGAGAAAGAAAACACGATCAGGCTGAGTAAGGAACTTGAGGATAAGACCCGCAAGCTGAGGTAATTATAATTTATCGATTTGTTTGTAAGATATATGGTGGTTAATTAGGCTGGTATGATCGTTTGACAAGTCTGCTGAAACTGGTTTGGCATGCAAAAGGCATATGAAGGGTGAGGACCTTCAAGACTTGGATCTGGATCAACTGAACAAGTTAGAAAAATTGGTGGAAGTAAGCATTGGCCGTGTAATAAAAACTAAGGTATTGCTTAACACTGAGGCTTAATACATATTATTGTGCAATGATCCGGAAGATTTATTACTTAATTAGTCATTGTTTAAATATTGTTCTTGGAAAGAATAAGACAAATATCTTAATTTTGTTCAAATAAGAAATTTGTTATTAACACTCCATAAAATAATATTGCACTTCCTCCTCTTAACTTTTTGCCCTATGCTTGAGTGAGCTATGACCGAGCTTAATCAAATAAATAGATCAGCACATTGTGCCTCATATACACCTTTTTAATCAAAAGAGTAATGCTAGGTAGACTGAATTTTATACTTAAATTTGCAAATTAAATGATGTGTCGTCAATAAGAAATAAACACGTTAATCAATACTTAAGTAAGTGATTTAGTTTACAATATTTAGTCTTCCTAACATTACCCTAATAAAAAAGTCAACAAGTTTCTAATCTGACTATTCTTTTGCAGGCGTATCTTTCAAATTTAGACTTTGGTCAAATTGAATGTAGACTTGACCATTTCTTTTCCGTACTTTACTTAGGTTATTTTACTAAAGAAATATTTTGGATTATATATGTTTATATAGCAACATCTAATTCCAAATTTCCCATTTATTTCAGGAAAAAAAGATAATGAGTGAGATTATGGCACTTACGAACAAGGTTTGTAATTAAATAGATGATTGTTGTCTGTGTCTATTTATGGAATAGCTACAAATATATACAAATAGTCCAGAATTTCCCGAAAAGAATAATAGTAAACATTAATGAATTATTAATGAATTTTTGCTTTGTTGTCCTCTTCTATGCCCTGATTATACATGCAGGGAGCTGAGCTTATAGAAGCTAACAACCAACTAAAGCAGAGGGTAAGAAACTACCACCATTTATATTTTTTCTTCTATTTTATTTTTATTTAATGAAAGTAATAAATCTTAATTAAAAATTAAATTTGGGCGATCTTTTTCTTTGTTGTTTTTGCTTGGCAGTTGGTGATGTTATCCGCTGGAGGAGATATCGAACCGGCGGCGATCATGGAGTTGGAAAACCTGAATAATGTTGGAGAAGAAGGCATGACATCTGAATCAGCCACAAATGTCACCGCCTGCTCCAGCAGTGCTCTTTCTCTCGAAGATGACTGCTCCGACATCTTGTCTCTCAAACTGGGGTGAGCCGCTTGCTAATATATATGCTATTTGCTGGTGGCTTTTGCTTTTGACTTTTGGATTGTGCTTATTTGATGATACGACGAAGAATAAAGGTAGTAAAATACTAGTCCATCTCCTTCGTGGCACGATCTTGTTTTCAAAGATAGCAGTGGGGTTGCCACGCCTTCGTTGCCGTTGAGTTTTGATGTAGGTTTTTTGTTTTGTTTTTAGCCTGTGATTAGCTCAAGTGCTCATCTGGGCTATGCTATTTTTTCCTTTCTCCTGTACCTCATGTTTCTTTGGGCCGTTTGGCTCCTTTCCTCAGCGTATCACAAATTCATGATGTTCGTTAAGTATAATTGTACCGCTATGATGCTTTTATTCTTCAACATCTTCAATGAAGTTGCTAATCGGTTTTTGTATTCGGTATTTTCAGGCTTCCTTAGTTTCTCTGGTTAAGAGGTGGAGACAGGTGGAGAGTTGCACTTCCTTATAATTTCTAAATAAAGTCGAGTTATTGTAACATACGAGTGATCTATGTGTCTTCACTCGAAAACAAATTGGAAGACATCTCTGGGGAAGTACTGTGACTGTGTGTTATATGTAAAACTGTATTTGTATTCCATGCAAAGCATGACATTGATCTAGAATATAACTTGTATTGTATACAAAGCTTTATGCAAATGCAGGCCTATGAATTTGGACTCTAATTCAGTTTTGTCTTGTTTTGTGGATTTGTTGGGGATGGCTAAAAGTTATTATGTTTTGTAATTATGCTTAAATATTCATTTCTGCCTTAAAGGTTGGGGACTTAGACCGAAAATCGAACCCCAAAAATTAAAAATTAAATAAAGGGGTTTTTAAATATGAATCCAGTTTTATAAGGCTGATTTGAAAGGAGTCCACTAGTGTTAAATCATCCTAGTTGGGGTCTACTAAGAGATTATATCTCCATGTTAATTATTTATGTCCATAAGTTTTACATGAATTTCAGTACTTATCACTGTATAGTATTTGAAATGAATTTACCAAATTCCAACGATTTTTAGGGCGTTAAGTTTTTACACGTTTCTCCAAACCCTTATCTCGTCGATTCCAATGATTTTGAAAAGAACCAAAATCTTCCTAATTCATGCGTTGTATTATGAGATATATATGATTCCTACAACAATCAATGCATGCATGAGTTTGGGTTTTAAATACGTGTGAATTAGAGTTTGTGGGTTTCTGTAGAACAGGTAGCTTATGTTCAATGTTCAATGTTCATTTTTTGTTGATTCTTAGTTGTTGTTGATTCTTAGTTGTTGTTGTTGTTTATATTTAGGGGTGGAATGAAATTAAACTACCTATGTGAACTGAATTTTCCATCTATTTATGTACTTGAATGGGTGAAAGGTTGGTGTTTTTCTTTGATTGTAACTGATTCGTTGTTGTCTACCTACATGTGTGGAATGAAAACAGCAAATAAAAATGAAAAATTCAAGTACCTAGAAAATTAATAAAAAGGGATAGTTAATTTAATACTGATATTAGGTAACTTATATTGTAGGCTTTGTTAATTTTATTTTTTCAATGTGTGTTTGAAATTTTTGTGGAATTTTTAAAGTTTATAACAACTAATGTAATTTATATTGTTCATGTATTTGTATTGTGTAGAGTTGGCCAATTTGAATTCAAGTATCGCCTCTCTTACTCTTAATCCACAACCACAACAAGTTTCAAGGCAATCTCAAACTTCTAGTTCAGAAGGTCTATTGGCTTCTCATCCATCAATTTCACTTTCACAAGGTCCAAGGTCTTCTCAAGTACCGCCTTCTCAAGCTTGTTCACAAGCTCAAAGACATCCTCAACCTTCGAAAAGTAAATTTCCAAAAGGAGAGGGAAAGAGAGGGTTGAACAATGTAAAGTAGTGACTTAAAAATTGAAGCACCAAAACCTTTTTGTTGAACAGTATGAAACAATTTATTTTTTTGGGTTATACTACTAATGCCACAAGGCATTTTGATGTTGAAATTTGTTTAAACTTTAGTTTTAGAACTTAACCTTTTCAATTGAGTTTTTCCTAAAGTAATGCCATAAGGCCCTTTGATGTTGAACTTTATTTGAAGTTGAATTTTAGCTTTGTGATCATGAATTTCTTTTCAAATTTGGAAATGGTATAAAATTGAAACCAAAACCATTTGAAATTGAACTGAACTGCAACTAAATGGTTTGGTTCTATTTATGTTCAAGCTTCAAAATCGCATCAAACCACACATCAAAAGAATTCGATTTTGGTTTTGATTTCAACCTAGAATCTCACCAAACCAAACTGTGTCAACCTCTAAAACAAATTTGAGTCTTATTTTGCACCCAAAAAGTTGATATTCAACCTCCCCTGAGACTTACATATGTGTTTCATTTTGCCTTGTTTTTCTCAACATCATCCAAGATCAACCAATAGCATATGTGATAAGGTTATTATGGTTATCTTGACCATGTTGTCTATGTGTGGTCCTTTTTCGCGACACATAATTATTGAGTTCACATCTTTCCTAATGCGAAAATAGTTATTTTTAAGAATGTGATTATATAAATGTAAACATAGAACCTTATAGAATATAGAAGTTCTTATCATATTGTGGCTAATTTTGACTATGTTGTCAATAATTTGTCTGTCTATCTCTTCAGTGTAGTCAAGAAGCCCAACTAGTTTATCAGGGAGTATACTCGGCACTTCCTTACTAAAAAAGCCAAGATTATCGGTTAAGACAAAACAGTCGCTTGGACAGCTTTAAAGAAAGGACTGCCAATAGATCATCTACTCCGAGGAGACATTATCATGATTGTGGGCCATGATTTTCCAGGACCGGAGTAAGACGAATCCGAATATGCCAACCTCAGGAGTTTGGTCATGGACTCAACAATCTCCATTAGGAGTTGACTAAATGGATTAGCGATGCCACCGTCATCATGTTCCGGAATCATTGGGTGAAGTTGATGTTCGTCGACTTCGCTAAGATAGACCATTCTTGTACCGCAAGATTCGAGAACCCAATCCAATAAGGAATCAACAGGTTTCCTATAATCTTGGAGTTATTATAATCAAAGGATTGGCATGCGCCGCAAGTAATCAAACTCCCAGGAGGATGCAATATCTACTTCCTAGATATCCTATGGGATTCTGCAGGTTTAATACGGATTCTACTATGCTAAAATGTTATCTCCTCGACTGGTATAAATACACCCTTCTAGGGTTCATCTCTGGTAACGCAATCTATGCATACTTATTCTCTTACCTACTACTTGAGTCTTAATATTGCTTACAACCTTGAGCGCATGGATGGAACTCCGATCACCAAGCGGTGGAACATCACCAAGCTCAGACGATACTATGCCTAACACGTTGCCGTCTACGCGTATACAAGTCCCTGGAGAACTCATTTCTGTATCGCCTCACCATAGGCTATTCATCAAAGAATGGTCCAATGAAAATTTTTTACATTGTACCATCTTTCTTGAACTACACCAATAATTTGGTTCCCTTTTCCGAGAATATGTAGGCAATCCTTTTCGGATTCAATCACACCCCTTTGTCAACATAAGTCTTTTTTCAATAAAAGAATTCTCAGAGTTTTTATTTTTATCTTTATTCTCAGAGTTATGATACGCACTTGTTCGTTCTTTTTTTTTTTTTTTTTTTTTTTTTGCGGTAGTGAAAATACCTAAAAAGCCCAAATAACACAAAACTTTGAAACTTCGCGTATTGTTCAGTTAGCAATTTGGGAGACTCGAAGCGTAACAAGTGTGGTTACGATTAGCGGGTAACGGGCATGGGGACATGTCACATAACCCCTTGATTTGGAACTCCAGTGCACCATCCAACTCTTGAAAAAGATTATGCAACCTGAAGGTTGTGGGTTATGAGTTATAACATTCAAATCTATGCTCTATGCATTCGAGGGAATGAATGTAAAGGCGATCCGAGAATAATCTGAAGGGTGGCTCTGAGTCCCAACCCTGAGTACGATCACTCTTATCCTAAACCAGCGTACTAAGCCAAGTAAGTTTTGCAACACCATATATGTTAAGCAGGTCTGAATGAGGCATTTGGAATAGGAAGTCCTCAAGAGGAATTTTATTCCAATAGAGCTCCGATACACGGAAGTGCCTTAGCCAAGCCAACTAAGTGTAGTCTGGTCGGAAACACTCTGGTCTGGTGCACAGGGTCTGACAAAAGGATTTGAAAAGTGTTTTCAATCCACATGTAGGTGACCAAGTCCCTGACGAACTTTTGTTTAATATTCACTAAGGACAAACCAGCAATCAGGACTGAGTAGGAAACCTTTTCTGAGTTATAGGCATATCTAAAATCCTCTAACCCAAAACAGGGCAAGGTCAACGAACAAGACAACATATTGAGAAAGGAACACTTATTTGACTTTGAACTCTGGAGGTCATTCTGGGTAAGACTTATCACTTTTTCGTCTTTAATTCGACAAATACATTATGAAAAATATATAGTAAAAGGATTTTTCATGGGCATTAGACCCGGTGTCGGAGTAAGGTGGTACTCCTAATCGCAGTGGGAATCTTCATGGATACCAAGTTTGAGAGGTAACATTTTTCCGAATCAATGTTACCTAGGGGGCTTTTGAGCTCTATCTGGGGCCTACAAGCTTGCTCATATTCTATTATATTACATATTACTTCGAAGTTAAATTACTTTGAAGAAATTTGTCGGATTACCAGATTATTCCATGATTGGGAAGCAAGGGATGGAAAAATTTCCAACATTTTATTCAAATAGGATAAATGGCATGAATAAAATTGCAAGTGTTTATAACGTGTAAATACATGTTTGTTATAAAGTCTCATGAACAGGGCAAAAAAGTTATAATTACTTGGGGGAGACAAGCCCTTACACCTAACATGCAAATTTTCATATGGAAGCTATAAAACAGATTTGGCCAGGACCATTAACTCTGATGAAGTTCAGTCGTCGTCAGAAAACGCCAATGAAGTTCAGTCGTTGACAAAGATAAATATGGCTAAGGTTCAAAGAGAGAACTGGGTTTGGAATGTAAGGCATGAAATAGAAAAGGAGGTTTCATGATGAAAACTAAAGGCTAAGCTGGAGGAAAAATCACGGTTACATGTTCATCATTGTTGCCTCTCCTTCTCAATATTCAAGATCGCACAACTGAATCTGGAACGTCAAAAGTTCACAAGAAACGAAGTTGAGACTCCACGCTCTGAAGGAAGAAAACGGTACGTATTCCGACTTATTCTGAAAGGCTTGGTCTCTAAGTAACTACCCATTTTTAAGGGGAACCAGTCATTTTTTATGCCTAGATAGGGGCAATTATGGACCATAATTTTCTAGGGGTGAAGTAAGACGGATCAGAATACGCCTACTTCACAAGTCTGATGACGGACTCAACAGCCTCCATTGCAAAGTTGGCTAAACAGATCAACGATGCCACCATCATCCTGTTCCGGAGTAAGTGGGCAAAGTCTGTCGACCTTGTTGAGATATACCATTTTGTTCCGCAAGATTCGGAAACTAATCCAACAAGGAATCTACAAGTTTCCTATAATCTTGGAGTCCTTACAATCTAAGAATTGGCATGTGATAATCAATCTTAAGAGGATGCAATATTAGATATCCTCTGGGATTCTTTCGATTTAATATGGATTCTACTATCCTAAAAGCTCATCTCTTCCACTAGTAGAAATACACCTTTTAGGGTTTTTATCTGGTTACGCAATATCTACATACTTGTTCTCTTGCCTATTGCTTGAGTTTAATATTGCTTACTAACTTGACTGTCAAAGAGCCTTTAACCGGTTCATCCCCTCCCGGTCCTAGGCTTACTTGCGGTTGTTTGTTCTTTTACATGTTAACAAGTTTGGGTATAAATTCTACCGGTCACTCTTGAAGATGCAGAGAACCTCACCATTCAGCAAGATTAAATCAAAGCTTTTTTTTTCAGACGAATAAATTCACTAACATTTTAGATCAAAAGCGTCATATTACCTAACTGTTCAACTCTAAATACATCCCACATACCTCATATGGACAGACCATTCAAGTCAAATAACTATCAAAATACTTGCAAAAAGAGAATTGGTGGCCTCACGACTTTCAGTCTTCAACAAGGCTTCTTGTGACACATTTATCCCCTTCAACTGGAGGTGTAAGCCGCAGCCTTTTTGCAGCGCGTTGCTCTAGCGACTCGGGTATCAGACCATCGTCAGGCGTTGGTCCATCGGAAATTTGAACATCATCATCACATGAGACTGTCCTGTTGTCTACCATATCGGAGTCTTGATCCATTTGTACATCGGGATTTTCTTGGCACGAGGGAATTGGAGCCGCTTCCTGCACCATACCATGGTGTTCAGAAGCTCCATTTCTGTTGCCATCTTGCACCTTATCATGGTCCTGAAAGCCTCCATTTTCGTTGCCATCCTGCACCTCATCATGGTCTTCAGAAGCTCCATTTTCGTAGCCATCAAGCACCTTATCATGGTCATGAGAGCCTCCAATTTCGTTGCCATCCTGCACCTTATCATGGTCTTGAGAAGCTCCATTTACGTTGACAGCATGCACCTTATCATGGTCTTGAAAACCTGTAGTTTTGTTGCCATGATGCAATCTATCATGGTCTTGAGAACCTCTATTTTCATTGGCATCCAGCACTATATCATGGTCTTGGGAACCTCCATTTTTGCCATCACGCACCTTACCATGGTCTTCAGAACCTCCATTTTTGTTGCCATCATGCACCTTATAATGGTCTTGACAACTTCCGTTGCCATCATGGAAAGCATCATGGTCTTGAGAATCTCCATTTTCATTCCAGTCATGCACATGATCTTGAGAACCTTCTAATTCTATAATGGAAGCGTCCTGCATCTTGCTTGGAGCAGAAACAAGGACATCTATTAAACATGTGACGTTTTCCACAAAATGAGAATGGTTTACATCCATTTCTTCTTTCTGACTCGAACCCAAACCTTCCCCAACTGAATGGTTCTCAATGCTATATATTCAGATTGGTCAGAGACACACATTGATAGTTTAGGGGATGAATCAGTGTTTCCATTTTCCGCTTGCGCCAAGTTAAAGTCAGTCTCAACGCCATAAGCTCTTGATGTATGCTCAATGTCACAAGTTTGAGATGTAATTCCAGTTATTTGCTGAAAACCAGAGTCTCCTGTAGGCATAAAAGCGAACTGCTCTCCAGTTTTGGTGTCGTCCTGTAATGAAACAAAAGGTAAGTGCAAGTATTGTGCTCTCTTAAACGAAACTACGTAAAATGATCCATTTATAATACATTTTTTGTCCTATATAGTTCTCTGCCCATAAAGGAACCACCCCCCCAAAAAAAAAACAAAAAAAAAAAAAGGGTGTACCAGCCTGCATCACAGGTCTACATAAATCTGCGACTTTTAAATAATGATAGAAATGATTCTCAAAGCATTTACTGGCTAAAAGAAAATTAAAATGAGAGATTGAATTGAAAATCGGTGAGTAATGGTTTTTGAACTTGTGACAATGTGGACCAATAGTCCATTTGGGTAACTCCATTAGAACTTCCCTACCTTAATTGCACTTTAAATGTTTTAGTTTGAAGGGAAATTTTAACGAAGTTACCCAAAAGGACCATTGCTCCACGTTGTAACATGTTTAGGGACAAATACAAACAGATTTTTAGTTTGGGGACCAAAGCTCCAATTAGGGACCAATACTCCAATTTCTCTTTTAAAAAAAAAGGACTATCATTTAAAAGTAATTTTTAAGCAAAACGTAAAAACAGAACCTATAACATGGCCCTTCCAATACCTCTCTCCCAAACACACACATGAACTAAAAAGCAACACCCAAAAGAACTCCAAAACAGCGCAAAAGCCAACATTAATCATGCTCATGCTTTTCAATCCCAACTATCTAATAGTAAGAACGAATATTGTTCCCAACAGAACAAGAATAAATAATGTTACCTCCATCGGTGATATAGCTCCATTAAGACGGTAAAAAGATGATTTTTGGTCAAATGATTGATATTCTCCATAGAGTGAGCCGGGGGTGGCTCCTGGCTCTAAAAGTTCCTGGAGAACCAAGCCTGCATCATTAACACACTCAGAACTCCTTAGAGAAGATGAGGATAATAGAGTGATTTCAATTCCCTGGCCTGCTTGAGAACTTGACATATTTTCTTGGCAAGCTACAGCAGGACCACATCTTCCTGAAAAAGACTGCACACCAGTTTCATGCTTGTTACATTCTGGAAACTTAGCCTGGTCTTCATCACTGGAAGCTGCTGAAGAGAGTCCCCGACAACGATCTTCAAGTAGCTCAAAAATTAACCTTTGAATAAGGGTACGCTTGAGAGATGCCTCGGACGGAAGAAACCAATTTGCATTAAGCTGGCAACAGAAATTGTGATTATGCATAACAAAAATTTGAAACATAAAGCTTGCAATTAAATTACAGGAGGATCATAATTAAAAGGAAACAAGAAATAATGGGGAAAAGGTACGAGTTTTATGCACAGAAACCCCATTTAAAGTCCCAACATTTGTATCTAAAATCTGATTCTGTCCCAATTCATTGTTAGGCAACAGAACTGAAAGACTTTCTATTTGAGAAAAAGAAAATCCTAGAATCTTCAGATGTGATGCATGCTAGAAACTGTAAATCAACATACTAACATAGATACGCATATAGAAGTATTCTAACACTTCGCATTAAGGACTTTTGAGAATTCAAATATCCAATAAGTAATTGTTGATATGTTTTAACGTTTCATCCATCAATTAATAGGAAAACATGCAATGCTTAAAGTATGATATCTTAGTTGGTTTTCATGCAGCAGTTAATAGAAAGCAATGTTTTAAAAAACTAGTATTGAGACTAGCCTAAGCGATTTCATGGGTGGGGTTATCAAGAAAACGCCTCTGCCCAGCGGAAGTGGGTTATAGACTACCCTAGGCGCCACCTGGGAGTTTGAATTTTTTATTTTTTTTAAAAGCCCAAACCCAAAACGACGTCATTTTGGGCAGGTTTTTTTTATAAAATTCATGCTAATTTTATGTTTCTTAGTTTCTAATAGTTTATTATGACTTTATGATGCGAATTAGAGAAATAATAATAATAGTCAAATATTTGATTGCTTGCCATGCTTGCTTGATTGTTTTACAAAGTATTATATTTTATATATAGGAAGTATTATAATAATTTTAGGTAACGTGAGGCGATAGCCTTACGCCTATCGCCTAGGCAAGGCTATCCATGAAACGCCTTGGCTTCGCCCCTTCACCTTTGCCTTTTAAAACATTGAGAGAAAGTAAGTGCTCTCCTTTAAACCATGACATTTACATCCAATGACTTTGAATGTGCTATGTTTCCTCTTAAATTGCTCGGTGATTGGACACTCCTCCATATATATGTTATAAAGTAATAATACAAACGAACAAGAGAAGAACAATACTTGATTTTCACCCCAATGGCTTCAATCAAGCATTCACAAGCATCACCCTAATTTATAAACACTGTAATTATGTTTTCAATAAGAAAAAACAAAAGTATGAACACAACCAGGTGGTGGGCAGTACAATTTAGAAGTTAAAGATGTTAGGGCTGCGTATCAGATATATAAAATTCACATGCCACATCAAGGATTTCAACAAGGTAAACGGTAGAATTTAAAGACTTAGTGAAACTAAGGAAAAACAAAAGACAAAGTAGACCACTTACAAAGTTGGAAAACTTGGTTATTTTGAAAGGGCTGAAATGAACAGGAGCTTCTGCCAAAAAGAGCTCCAAATAGTGGAGTAAAAACAGGCCACAATCGAACGAATTTTCCTGTTGCGGTAGCTAATAAGAACACGTACCAGTGTCAGAAGTTCTAACATTTTACCATCAGGAAAAACTATTCAACACTTCTTTATCTAAAACCACAAAAAAAATGAGGGAGCGAAAGATAAAACTTTATAGTGACAAAAATATGTCATGTAATTGTACAAAGAGAGCATACATCTATTGCAGGAGCTCAAAGACAGAATGATCACAAATGAAGATGCACATGTGCAAGCTATTCCATTGAATCCATTCATCTGATATATATTTATAAAAGATTTAGGCCAAAAGGGAAAGAACATTTTAGTAGTTTTTATAGTTACAAAACAATCAATTTGCCGTACTGCATCTAGAACTTAACCTATAATGACTTAGTGCATATCTTGAATACCAGACTATCATACTAATTCGACCCCGTAAATATAAAAGACAATCTTAATATCCACAAATTTCTTTGTATATTCTTCTTTTTATATTAAAAAAAAAGGTGGTTTCAAGATAGTAATGCCCTTCACTTAGAAAACAACTTCCATGGAACGAGTACACCGCCACCTGGCGTCCCGTGCCAATGAAGCAAGGACATTTGGACAAAAATTTACCCAAGTAGTAGCAGTTTTTATTAAGACAAGAAGGGTAGCATTTATATATGATACTTCAAATTATCTCTACCCCACAGTGTCCTATGAAATCATTCTTCCATGTGGCCTATGAAATCACAAGGGTAGTAAGCATACACAACAATATGATCATAAGAATACAATATGCCCATATAATACAGATTTTTATTGTTTCCCCTCTCTAAAACTGTTACATACGACTGGAGCAATACCTCAAGTGAGACAAATCGCAGGTTGTGAAACTTTGATGAGATTTCTTCAGATGTCTCCTTTTTCCTTTCTTTCCACTCTTCCCACAGATAACTATCATTTCAAGATCAAACTTTGATGTCACAATTTAGAATATCTAAGTTCTGAAGTTGTATTAAAGAGTGCATATGCCATTCAAAACCCCCAAGTACTGAGTACCCTATTCCAAGATCAAACCATCAAACACAAACATAAAATATCCCATATTATCCCATAAAGGTCGTACCCAGTGCACAAGGCTCCCGCTTTACGCAAGGTCTGGGAGAGGTGAATGTCGGCTAGCCTTACCCCCATTTTATGGAGAGGCTGCTCCCAAGTCTCGAACCCGAGACCTACCGCTCATGGACGAAGGCACTTGCCATCGCACCAAGTGCGACCTCTATCCCATATTATCCCATAAAATAGAAAAATATGTCTACTGACTTGAGAATTGTCCAAGTGTCTCCTTCCCCCTCCCAACAAAAAAAAAGAAACTTCAACCTAACCTAATGCTTGTATTAATATCCAATGGTTATATCGCAATAGCCAGACTGTTACTAATATCATCAAGTTTTCATAAAAAGAACATCAAGAGTCGAGCATGAGCGATTAGAAGTAATAAAAAAAATTAACTTTAACAGCTAATAGATACCTTTGAATTAGATTTTTCAGACCCGTATGACTTCCTTTGATAGAATCCATGTGTAAAATACAAGGTACTTTACGTGAATTTCCTGATTCTCCATCTGAACATGGAAAAAGTATATAAATGACAGGATGAAGAAGAGATGAGATGCACATTGCGCAATCAAGGAGAAACTTACCATTATGTTTAGGCACTTCACCAAGATGGCATATGACTATTAGGCTCCAGTGTAGACTGACAATTAAAGCACAAAAGCTACGTATCAGCACCCCAGTAAATTGAGCTTATTACAAAGGCAAAAAGTTTGGTCAAAGGATCATACTTGAAGTTTATAGGAATGAAGATGTAATCCCTTTCAAATAAATCCACTTTCCTCGTCCATTTACGAACTCGTTGAAAAGCAGCTCTGCCATCGGAAACACTGGATGGATCTTTGTCCAGGTCAGCCAGCTTCCGAAAGAAAAAACTATTGAAAAAGTGGAACCTATGCCTTTTCTCAGGCTGAATCTGATTCTTCAGATACCTGTCAATAGAGTATATTTTAACAGGTGAATTATAAAATTTTCAAAACCTACAATCACATTAAGTGCTAATAAAGGCAATAGCAATTAGCATTAGCCTTGTCGGAGGTTAGCATCATCTTTTGGTAATTAACAAATATTATTTATTACATTTTCAAACGCTGTCTCAAACTTCAAAGGATTAGTATTTCAATGATCTTATATCATTACATGATGTACTCTCATTATCATGTCTTTAAATTCATTAGCAGTTCATAAATTGAAGAATCGTCCAAATTAACAGTTTCTCAACGCTTTCATCTACGATTTCGGTGATTATATATCAACTTACTTGAAATATATTATTTATTTATATACTCAGGTAAAAAAAGGTCTAGCAATTTAAAAGTTCCTAAAACACAAGCCCAAGGGTTTCGTTGAGGATAGTGAGGATATTGATGGTAGAGAAGATTGATCCAGTGTAGGACTAACCAGATGAAAGAATGACAAAGTAAAGATAAATTTGGGAAATTACGGGCCAGTTTGATAACCATTTCATTTTTTGTTTATAGGATTCATATTTTCTTCATAAAGATAGAGGAAATCTCTATGGAGGAACGAGGAATAAAGAAGGATGGATGAAGGGTAGAGGAAAAAGTAAGTAGCAATAATTAGAAAAGAAAACCTACTTAAAATTGTTTTCAGTTTTCGGTTTTTGATTTGTGTACTTTGTTCCACTTTTTTCCAACCATCCTTCCTCCAGCTTTGCTCTTACCATTTTTCCCCTGTATTTCACCTATATTCCTAACAAATAAAAAAAGAAAACTAAAACCTGAAAATAAAAATGTTATCAAACGGGCCAAGTTGCTCAACTTTGTAAAATTGCTGACCCCTAACAACGAAATGATTATTAGTATGTGATTATTGGTACTTTTTTATATTAAGGTATGCAAGAGTCACTTGAACACATATAAATACGAAATTAGCTTTATTTATTAGTAAAATCATGAATTTATCAGTGGTTACATTTTCCCTTTTGAATGATTAAGAAGAACTAAGCAATTAAAAAAAATTCTATACAAAACAATGTACTTTAATGGACACACTTGGTTCTCATATCTCCTGTTTGAGACCAAGGAAAGGGATGTTACCTCCCAACATTTTTAATTTCTTTTGACCTTAAAACTCTTATTAATAAAACTGACAAAACCAAGTCCCAGATAATGATAGCTGTGCATAATGGAACTAAGTATTTAGAATCCCAAAACATGCAAGTCTTTAATATAAAGAGTATAAATTATGCATGTGAGGTTATCCACGCAAGCTTACTTGATATAGAAGTCAATAATTGTATCATTAATAAATGTCTCTGGCTGTAAGAGATCAACATCTCTCTTGCTGATGGAAACAGCATCTGAGTCCCCTTTCGGATATACAACATCTTCAAAAGGCTCATCAAAACTGTATAGCATCTCAAATATGTTTAGAAAACATCATAAAACAACACTGAGAAAGAAATAGAAACTGAACTGTAAACCAAATCAATCATGTTCATTTTCATAGAACCAAACAAGTATTCTACCATTTGGTATATTACTAAGCAACATAAACACAAACAGTTTCGACCAGAGCCAAACTCCCTAAATACTTAATAGTTTTACGGGCAATAACAAAGGGACCACATAAATTGATTCTGCGTCTCTTTAAATTGATCCTTCTTCCGTTTGTTGTATGAGTTAAAGAGAAATGGAAAAACTAAATGACTGTTTAGCCGATGATGGATTTTGGGCCACAGGTATGAGTTAAGCAAAAAAAGCATACGTCCACATTACATACAGAAATAATTTAATAATTCTTTACACTTGAAAAACAAATCCCATAAATTCAAAGTGATCAAGAAAGCCTTACAAATGGATTATGTGATACCGAGGAACAAAGAGTTCAAAACCTTATCCAATCCTCACCATTTAAGAGAGAAAAGAAAAAAAAATACTAGAAAGCGTAACAACTGTAAACAACTAAAGAACTCAAAATGACAGAACAAAGAATCTGAAAACAAAGAAAGGAAAAGGAAGGTTAAGGAAACATCATTTAACTACTAATAATACAGAAAGGAATATAATTTGTGTCATCATAGTTACAGAGAAAAGGAACTAGGACCACTTTAACTCACTTCGGAAAATGATGCCTCTGCCCAATTGAATCGTCCTCATCTGTTTCCATGCCCATGCTACTTGTATCAAAATGGGAAAAAATATAAATTTAAGATTGTGCAGTACTACTGAAGTAAAATGAATTGATACAACAATACACCATACACAGAACTAGTACATATTTACAGTTGTGGCAAATAATTCACCAAGGAAAAATACATTGTGAATCCAAACAATTACCTTGCATTTCTAAGCTAGATATATGTGAATGAACTAACAAAAATGTACGGTTGAACCATTCCTTTTTTATTCTTTTCAAAAGTATGGTCGAACCATTCTAATTTGCAAACCACTAAAAACACACGCAATACTTATCACCACAGCAGTACATCATCCCTGTAAAGAGGAAAACCAACTGGACACTATGCCCGGCCCACAGCAACACAGCAGCATGGTTGAACAGATACCGTATAAATTAAATGCATACAAACTCAGCACTAATATAAATAGAGAACATAGCTATAAACCAAGAGCCTTAAAACTAATAGATTTAATGTTTACTGGGTTTTTTCAGCACCAATTCTTATAATAAAAACGCAAGCTGGATGGTTCACTTCACACTATTACTTCGAAGTTCTAAATTCAAGAGTGGACATCAGATGTCTCTCACAGCAATCCCTTTTGCTACTGAACTATGTATCCCCTTAAATCTGTCATTGTAATCCCCCAAAATGCCATTTAGTTCATTTCATCCTAACACTAAGCCTTTGAAAACACAAAAAAGGAATTTATGATCTTGATGAGATTGAATTTCATTGCACTGACAAAGTGTAATTCTTAAAACAGATTAAATTGACCATTTCTTGGATATTTAGATAAGTTGTCTCTAATTTGTGTATGTTTGTGGCTATACTTTTGTCAATGTTGGTACAAATGAGAGTAAAGAGAAAATATGGAACTTTAAATCTAGTTAAGACTATAAAAAGCATATCCAACGTATTAAATTACAGTAATCAAACATCATGTGCAGAATTGAAAGCCTGAAACTAGGATTCCTAAACACATAATATCCTAGTCTATCTGAAGTAATGAAAGCATAGTGTCCAATGCTGTCCTTTTATAAAATTATTAAATATTGCTTTTCTACACAAAAAGAAAAAGGAATTACCAAAAAGAAACATGTTGTCATTTCATTTCCAACATTCAACACAAATATAATTACAGTCATACACCACATAATTAGATAGAAAAAGAAGTAGTATTATTAAGAGTATAGGCCATCAAATTATACAGCTACTTGGCATAAAGCTTTGAACATCAAGAAATACAAATTACATTTTGTATTAACCAATGAAACATAAACAAACTTACTCATGCAAAACCCATGAATTGATATATTTTGCATTCAAAGACATTATCCTTTGTTGTTGCTCGAACCAGTTGGGTTCAACACTTGCAATCTTCAACTCTTCAGTGCCTAGGAGAAGTTTAGGTAGCAGATAATGCCAGAAAAAAAAAAGAGAGAAGCCACACTCAGCTTAAGAGTTTCAAGTCCCAAAAGGAAAATAAAACTAGTTGGGACAGAATTTAACCCACACACTGTTCAAAAAAAGGATTAAAAATCTAGAACTTTATTTTCTTTTCTGAATTACAAAGAAGCACAGATTCTCATATGACACATACTACTTGCTAAAAGTAATCTGCAGTGTTGAAAGATGCCTCATTAATACTTGGATTACAAAGTACTGGTCTATTTTACTTATAACACTTGGGTCACAAATATTTTCCAGTCACACATATGACTACATAGAGTGTGTCCTCACCATAAGACTTTCTATATAATGTATACACAACCTTTAACCAGAAACCCTCTTTATCAGTGTCCTAGCTTCATAGCTCAAACATCATAGAATGAGATCTGGGAGCTTGCATAGAACCAGAGTGAAAATTGACCAAACTTTTTCAGAAGGGTCACATTAGTTTTGACAAGTGAACAGCAAGTTAAATAATCTACCCATAAAAAATCTGGTGGAATTTCAAGAAAGAGAAGTCTCCCAAAATACCCAAAATACACTTGCAGCACCAATCTCACTAAATGAATGCAAAAACCAACAAAAAGAAAAGAGCTTGCTAGTAAAAGTGCACTGACCAGAAGTACTGGGTGCACCATCATCTTCCGTGGCATTCTTTGATACAACACGAAGTTTTATCATGACAAATTCAACCTGAATGCCAGTATAATAAACTGTACATATTCAATACCAAGTATATATAGTAATTGGTGACATCCAATAGGAGAGTTTCAGGACTCACTTTTTGAAACCACTGACACTCTACATCAATGAGATCACCGACTTCCCATTCAAAACTAAAGGTTCCAGGGCGTTCGGATGTTGAACCACTGATTTTGATGCAACCGGGAGAAAAGGTTAACTGAGGTTCTGTACAATAACTATCCCGATATATAACATAATCAGGATAAAGAACAACCGTCATATTTATATTATCCTGCAGATTATGCAACAGTATGAAAGTCACAATTAAAAACCTTCTAAAAGTGGATTAACAAAATATTAAAAAATCTGCAAAAAAATGGTATAGAAAACTTATTTAGAAGGTAAGTAACATTATATTTGCTTATTTATTTTGCTGCATTACACTTATTCAAAGAATAGATAGTCTCCCTCACCAAAACATGCCCTGATGGTGCATACTGGGTTACCTTACACATCCCTTTAATAGCTCACCAAATATTCTTTGTATTTGTGACATGAAACAAAAAAGTACCCAATACTCACCTAAACTACCCATTACACTACTCAGAATATGAATATCCCACAAACAACCCCACTTTCTTTCTTGACACTTATTTTGTTTAACCATCAACATGCACTTTCACTTCTTTATTTTTTCTATTTTTGTAACCCCAAATATGTAGTTATGCAAGGAGCAATCTCACATGTATTGGACGGCTAATAAAAGAGAAAAGAGATTACCATTTCCAAATCACCAGAGCAATGATACGGTTTATATGTACCCAAAGAATCTGAAAGTGAACAACAAATAATAGTAAGAACACCAAGATGCACGACAGAAATGACTAGGGAAGGCACAAACTAAAGATTAGCAGTCCTCCAATTAACAAGGAAATACCGTCATCCTCTTCAATTTCAGAAGCAGGACTTGATGGAGAGTCACTCGAGCTTTCATCAGCATCTAAAATCACATCAACTGGGTCATTCTGAAAAAAAAAAATAACACAAAAAAAATTCAGAAAGCATAATTTTGATAGTTAATCTCTCCATTAAGGATATACTTCAGCAGGTATATGACAGTTGACGTACACTGGACGGAGACACCTCAAGGGCAGAGTGTAACTGGCTTTTCCATGACGATGATGACATAGCATTTGAACCTCTTCTCTCTGGCTCAGAAACAGGACTTCTGGATCCATGACTATCTAATTTGGAATCAGAGTGTTGTTCATGACTCAAACATTTGAATTGTGGTGCAGCATCCAATTCCATATACTCTATCTTGGTAGCAAGGCTCTCTTCAATTGTTCCCACGGGGGAATATGAAATGGCATTATCACAACAATGATCTTGGTCAACTGAATCAACATCTACACAAGGTATGCTGCCAATATCTTTTGATTCAAGTTTGGCTCCCTGCACAACTAGAAACATATTTAGATGAATTAGTATACTTTATAGCTGCCACTGATGACACACATAAACCATTTTCATTTTTTAGCTAACAGAGAAAAAGAAATATAAACACCAACAACAACGTATCAACAAGATTCAGGGCAACATCTTGCTACTAACAACCACATTGTTCATGAAAGGGTGCAAAAGGGAGATATAAATGTGCAGTACATTCCAACTGATGACAAGTTGCAGAGATTCTGACAAAAGGGGTTCATAGTCCTGTATTTTTTAAACACTGTTCCAATCTCAAACTGGGATTCTGCAGTTGAGATTGAGGGGGAGTGTTGACAGATGTCAGAAGATTAGTGGCTGGATTAGCACATCAACCAAAACCGGAATAACCAACAAGTAAATCAGCATTTTTACAAAAAGGTGCGAAACCATTGTAAACAGGGGATTGGAATGCAGATTTGACATACAAACGGGACCTAACAACAATGTTACATATTTACCAGATCATGCAAAATACGGAACTGTAAGTAGCCTACTGCATACAAAGTGATTATTAATGGTCAAAGGTTACCATATATAAAACTAGGATTACTGGAAGATCCGTCTGTAAATACCCAGTTCTTTCAAACATTTATCCAACTCCACCAAAAAATCTCTACCTCTTTCTACGATATGATAACCTCAATTTACAGATTAGACAATGCAGTTAACTAAGAAATCAACCGCCAAATTATTAAAATTTTCACCATACAAAGATAATTTTTAGTATGAGACAGTAAACAGATCCCTCATTTTAGTACAAATTTGTTATAAAAACAATAAACCTGAAGAACAATTAACCAGCAACTCAAAAAACTACTTAATCCTATACGAACGATTAGCTTATCGATAAAGATCAACTCCAAACAGGACAAATTTCCATCATAGCTCAAAGCTAGCATAGTAACAATTCCCAACGATCGATTATCATAGCAGCAAGTGCCAAAGTTGTAATTCGAAGCATTAACATAAAAATTCAGACAAAATTATTGAACTTTTATTCATTTCACACCAGATTATTTTCCCCACAGATTCTCGGCAACCAAACACAGAAGTCTAGCTTACATATTTTAGACATTGCGGAAAGCAAACGTACCATTCTGGAGAAAATCGTACTTGAAATTCGGATTCGTATCGAGCCTAGGGTTTTTTAACTTGCCAAAATATTTCCCCTGGAGCGATTCCGAGTGGTCGTCCTCCTCGCTGAAGTCGAAGACTTCGAGACCGCTAGTCTTCATCGCGAAGGTAACGGGTTTGGAGTGGAAACTCGGGCGAGTCAAAAATTGACTCGGTGAGTGAGCACAGGGGGTTGCGAAACTCGGTCAAATCGGAGAGAGAGCAGTGCGAGAGAGCTGAAGACGAGGGGTTCTGTCGTTGCTTTAAATTTGTAGGTAACCAGCCAATCAGAGACAACTTCCTTCTCTTTTCATTTTTCTTTTACAATTTTCTATAATTTTTTAGAAATAAATAAATAAATAAATAAAAGAGTAAATTACACAGTAACCCCTTAGGTTTGAGGTCTTGCACAAACTCATACAACATCTTTAAAACATTTCACTTTCATACCTCACGTACCATTTTATTTCAAAATAATACGTCTGTTAGTTTTTTCATCTATTAATTTGTTAAGTGCTGATGTGGCTGCGATGTGGCTACCACGTGGCTGCCAAATGTGTGTCACATGGCAAAAAAAAAATTAATTTTTTTTAAAAAACCTAAAAAATAAAAAAAAACTGAAATGATAACCCCACCCCCGTAACCCCCCCCCCACCCAAAACCAGAAACCCAAAACACTCCCCAACCCACAACCCTCCCTTCCCAGATCCCCATTCCTGCAACCAGTTCGTCTTCTCCTCGCACCCACATTCACCCTCCCTCCCCATTCTCCTTCCCTTTCTCCATCCTCCATGTTCATCTTATTCCCCCGAAACCCCTTCCTACAACCCACAAAAAAAAAAAACAACCCAGTTCGTCTTCCTCCGCACCCACACCCATCCTCGCACCTGATTTCACCTCACGAACCCGGCGATGGCAGCGTAGACACGATCTGGGTTTTTTTTTTTTCTTCCCTTTCTTTTCTGGGTTGCAGGGGGAAAAAGATGAAGATGGGGGAGAAGAGAAGAGCTGGGGGATATGGGTTTAGGGGTTACGATGAGAAGAGAGGAGGATGAGGGAAGGTTTCAGTTTTTTTTTTTTTTTTTTTCTTTCTGGGTTGCAGGGAAGAAGATGAAGATGGGGATATGGCTTTTGGGGTTGCAGGGAGAAGAGAGGAGGATGAGGGAAGGTTTCAGTTTTTTTTTTTAATTTTTTTTTTTAGAAGATTTAGGTTTTTTGAAAAAAAAGTAAAAAAATAAAATAAAATTGCCATGTGGCACACATTTGGCAGCCACGTCAGCACTTAACTGATTAATAGATGAAAAAACTAACGGACGTATTATTTTGAAATAAAATGGTACGTAAGGTATGAAAGTGAAATGTTTTAAAGATGTTGTATGAGTTTGTGCAAGATCTCAAACCTAAAGAGTTACTGTGTAATTTACCCTAAACAAAATGTATTTGGGTTGGTGAGTGGTTAAAAGTATTTATTCTTATAGAGTTTTTATCATAAATAGTCTTTGAAATTAACCCACTCATTTAAGGTGGTCTTTAAAATTCAAATTCGATCAATGTAATCTTTTGATATGAATGTTGAAAATCAATATCGTCGTTCCGTTAAATTACTATCAGAACTTCTGTTAGTGGCTAACGTAACGTGGCATATATGTGGGACCTAATCTAATTAAATATTTCCAGCTATTCCAATTGGTTCTCGCTGAACCACATCCACCATTGTGAGGTCTAATTCCTCCCTCCGTCTACAGCCCAGTTGTTGCCATGTCCACGAAGTCGAGCCCAGTCATAGTGTTGTTAGGATCGCCCGAGATTGAGTCAGCACCCTACTTCACTGCACCCTTCCTCCCTCCCTGGACCTTTCCTCTCTCCCTGCAAATCCAAATCCATACATCCTTCCTTCCTTCCTCCCTGCAAATCCAAATCCTTGGACCCTTCCTCCCTCCCTCCCTTCTAAACCAAATCCCTGCAAATCGAATTCCAAATTCCTGCAAATCCAAGCCGCCACCACCATCTTTTAAATAAATTTAAAAATGAAAAAAAAAAAAGAACATAGGAGATTGGACGATCTCTTTTCCCTCCAACCCAATCCGATAATCCCTTCCACACACCACCTTGATGTCCTAATTAGTGATTACTCCCTCTGATCCTGCGTTTTTTTGTCTTTGGAAGAACCAAAACATGCAAGAAACCAACCCACGATTTCGACCTCTCTTTTCCCCTCCTCTTGGTCTCTCAAAGATCGTGTATTTCTACAAAACATGGTGGGAAAGATGGTGGCTTGGTGCTTGGTTTAGGTGCTCACAGGTCACAGCCTTTCACGAAGCTTTTTTTTTAAATTTATTTGTTATTATTTTTAGAATAGAAAAAAAAATTTAATTTTTTTAATTTATGTGGGACCGATACGTGACACACCCCGACCTAGATCGAGGCATGCTTGTCATCACATGAGGGTGACGTAGCTATATGCGCAATGCGGAAGAATAATAATGTAAAGAATTGAGAATAAATAAAAACCAAACTAACTAAAACACTAGATAAGAATAAGTGCAGGACGAAATTAAGTGTGACTAAACATAATCAGAGCGTAGGTATCTTAGGTGCAGTCCAGCAGGACAAATACTAATTATACAATACCAAAGATGGTCCTACATTAGTGATAATCTTTCAGAGCTGCCGTGAATTCCTCGTAAGCCACCAACGAGCACTCATACCTAAAACCTGGAGGGGCACAAAGCAAAAAGTGTGAGTGGGCAAAAACAAAGCTTTTCAAAACCATTTCACTATCAAAGTAGTAACCCCTTGTCGTAAAACTTGTATAATTCCCAGAAAATAGCATACACGATTATATCTCAAAATCATATTCAACATAGCAAATCCATCAAATATACCATGTCAAATCTCAAAAAGAAAATAAGTAAGCCATGTGAAATAAATCAATATGAAATAGTATGCAGACCGAAGTCACATAACGTGACATGTCCGGCTAGATCTATAACTCATCAACTAGTTCTTTGCACACAAGTCGGAACCACCTAAAGTGGTATGTACAACCAGCTAGGTGTAAATAAGTACACTCAAGTGCTACGGTCACGTGAAGGCTGTGCGAAGTATCGCAAGTCATCTACGAGTCGGAACCACCTAAAGTTGTCTGTACGGCAGGCTAGCACCTGCCTTGGATCCAAGGTGAGCGTGTGGTGTAGGAGGTGAACGATCATGTGAAGGTTAGGCCCTGTCCTCGTGCAGAGTACTAACACCAGGGTGCAGGATAATAAGCTCGAAATATATCTCAGCACTATTATACTCACTACCATCAATATACTCACCTGAAGCTTACCTGAGCGTCCACATCGTCGAGCAACAATATATATATATATATATAACCATACTAATGCACAATTAAACATAGAGAGCATTTGACATGACATTTCAAAGTATCAAACCATTTAATTAAGTTTTCTGGGAAAATACCAAGTGTGTGTGTGTGTGTGTGTGTGTGTGTGTGTGTGTGTGTGTGTACTGAAAACCAAAAGCCCACTCACTGATATGTGGAAGAGTTGTAACCCCTGAGCCTTGCTTGACTGCGCTCGTCCTCAAGATAAGTCTCACCTATATGCGAAACAACTATTTAAACGTTATTTTTAAGCACATAATCAAAACTAGGTAATAACTTCTCATATGTTGCTCAATTGGGGTATTTGAATATACTACTGTGGCCTACTCAACCTCAAGAACATCCCCATATTTTTAGAAAAAATTTCTGATGTCCCACACGCCCTCACGCGCCGGCCAAGGCACAACCAGACGCGCCGCCCACGTGCAGGCACGTGCCTGGCACTGACGGATTCCCTAACAACGTTAGAGAATATTCCGTTAAATAAAAGCATATGCAGTTATTTTTACATGACGCCGTTAGTCGCTGTTAGGAATATTCCGTCAAAGTTGACAGAATATTTGTCTTCTTCTCTGGTGAATCACCAGATTCCGTCGCAGTCACAGGAAACTGGGAAAAACTTCAAACCATCATTTCTCACTCATAACTCAATCAAAATTCATGAAACTTATACAAAAATGAAGCTTAGGACAAAAGGAACAAGTTTTTACCACTTAATAGTCCTAAAACAAATGGAAAGTCGCTAGAAAATCCTTCGATATTCCGGTCACTCCTGCAACTCGCCAAACCTGAGCTTCCCGACGTTCAAAACCTTCCAAAATTCTTCTTTGAGCTTCATGAAGAAGTCCTAAGGCTCACTAAAACCTTAAAACTCGATGAAACCTCCGCGATCACGACGAAATCAATGTGCACCTCATCGGGGTTTTTGGTTCTTGGGTTTTTGAGGGCCTCACGTCCAACCAAAACTACAACTCGACTCTTGAGCTTGAAAGAAGCACGAAAATAACATCCACAACCTTGATCCGTGAGAGATGACGAGAGTTGAAGGCTTATCGGTACAATTGTACGGACGAATGGAAAAATCCGAGAGGGATGAGAGAGAGAGAGACTACGGGAGAGTGAAGGTGTGTGTGTGGTCCAACTTTGGGCTACCAAACAAAAACAAATAAAACTAAAATCTAATTGGGTCCAAAAAGTTAGGAAAAACATGACATGGTCCAAATCCTTAGCCTGTTTACACATACACAACCACTAAACACTCAAGGGCATAACCGCCACTTCACGCTATCAAGGATAAAATAATATACATTCGAGATGGGCTATCACAACCTACCCCCCTTAAGAAAATTTTGTCCCCGAAATTCCATACAATAATGTACAACCACTAATAACCATAAAATAAACGTGGATACATTTCCTTCATATGGTCATCCGTCTCCCATGTAGCTTCCTCCACTGAATGATTTCTCCACAAAACTTTCACTAAACGCATGGTCTTATTCCTCAAAACCTTATCTTTCCAATCCAAAATCATCACTGGCTCCTCATCATAAGTCAAATTTGAATTAATTTCCAATGGTTGAGGAGGTATCACAAGTGATGGATCAAATATATAATGACGAAGCCTAGAGACATGAAAAACATCGTGCACTTTAGACAACTCCGGTGGCAACTCAAGCCTGTAAACAACTTTACCGACTCGCTCAATGATCTGATACGGTCCGATGTACCTAGGACTTAGCTTACCCTTTTTCCCGAACCGCACTACACCTTTCCACGGTGATAGCTTCAAAAACACCCAATCACCAACTTTATACACTCGATCAGTGGCATGCTTGTCTGCTAGACTCTTCTGTCGATCATAAGCCGTTTTCAGGTTAAACT